ACTTTATATATGTGTTCCCATAGAAGATAAGGGAAAAAAAAAGACTTCATATATTTGATTAATTACCAATCTCAAGATCATGCCAAGGATGAGCAGCAACTGATCTCCTTGACATAGATGAGAGAATTCTTTCATTTAAGCGTGGAGCACGCTTTTGAGACACTTGAGATCCATTATCATTACTCATCCTATAAAAATAATTCGTAAAATCTCTTGTCATGAGCATAAAAATATGAGTAATTGTAAAAATACAGGACTCTCTTGACTATATACATGTTTCAATGAGATTAACCCAAAAGAAAAAAAAAATAATAAATAAAAAGAATTGATTGCATAGTAAATCTAACTTTGTTATCTGTTAACTCGTGTTGAGAATTTAGTACAATGAGAATTATGAGACTGATATTATGATATTATAATTTAGATTGTACCTAATATCAACACTAATCATTCTCATGCATCAACTAATCTCCCATCAAAGAAAATAGAGAAAGACACACGGGATGGACAAATCGTAGATAAAAAGTATTCGGTATCTATTAAATATAGGAAAATTATGAAAGATCAAATGAAGCCATCTTCAATCAGATTTATTCAATTAGATCAAATGTTTCAACAAATCACCATTATTTCTGAAGCTATTTCATCGTCTTCAATCCAAACAGTATTAGAAACTAGAAAGTGTGGACTCAAAATTCCCCCAAAACAAACAACAACTTTATTAAGGTCTTCCCGATCAACACATCGCATAATGGATTTCAAATCCTCATCAGCTATTCTTTAATCATTTTCGAGGATCGTCTTAAATGTAATACATTAATAATCAAACATGTTTTTCCTAAGACGATCTTCCCAAACTCAAAATCCTGGAATCAAATGCAACCCTAATTAATCAGATCGGACAACTTGGAATCAAATGCAAGCCTAATTAATCGGATCAGACAAATTTCTCCGTTGGATCAACATTTATCACTCATCGATTACATAAATAAGAGCTAAAATGAACGGCAAAAACAGGGAAACAAGATCATACCTGAAGAAGAAATAAAATACGAAGACGATGATAATGGAGATAGTTTTAGAAGTGATGATAGGAGGCGCCGAAGTGTAGAAAAGGGTATATATAGTGGAGGAAGACGGAGAACGCGTCAGGCAGGCTCACGTGGCAACGCGGCAGCATCGATAGTTCGTGGCCAGGTCGTAGGTTGTCTAATTTTGGACAGCAAATTTTGCACGTCTTGATTCCGATCTCCTATTCCATTTTTATATTTCATAACTTCTCACATTTATATAAATGTGATGTTATGATGGATATTAGATAGATTCAATAGAATTGATTTCGATCTCACAAAAATTATATGGAACAATCGGATGATATTTTTATGGAGTCATCCACCACGTAATGTATTGACACTTGTCCAAAGTGTATTTATTGCAGGACACATGTCAATACATTATTAGTAAATAAGTGTGGCTGACTCCATAAACCGAGCCATATGATGACTCCATATCAAAATTGTTCGATCTCATATTCCATAACTTGTTACATTTATATAAATTCAATATTATGATGGATATTACATGGATTCAATATAGTTGAATTACGATATGAAGAACAAAATTAGAGCATAAAACTTTTGTCAGGGCTGGTCTTGTATAATTTGGGTCCTAGGCGAATATAAAAGCAATGTCCTCAATCTACATGGGAAAATTGAACCACCTACAAATTTCTTTTCTGTTTTTTGTTAATATATGATTTTTATTGCAAATATACCAAATTTTACTGGCTAATTTGGGATATATTTTTTTCAATAGATTTATAAATTGTATTATTTTATTTTATTAATTTTTGCTTATAAGTCATCTATGTATGATTTTAATTTGAATATCATAATTTTACCCCCAAAAAAATGTATGGTACACATGTAAAAAATCCATCAATGTGCAATTCCCCAAAGTCAGCAATTCGGGAGGATCCGGTTCAAGTGGTGGCGGTTCAAGTTACCCATCGTCATGTCATATGGTAGTTGGAGTTTTTGGTTTTGCTTCTTGGGCCGGTCCTACCTTTCTTGGGTGGAGCAGCTTGTCGACTGTTGAGAAAGGCCTTATTCCAGTATTAAGTATGTTTTGTTTATGTTTATGTTTATTTGATGTTTTTCATTATCTATTATTGGAGTTCAAATTCTCCAATTGTGGGAGCTTAATATTATAATATCTTAGTCTTGTGAGTGTATTTTAGTCTAGTTGTTTCTAGGTTACCGTTGTTTCGACGCGTAGACCTCTATGTGGATTCAACTGTACAATTGTTTCAGACAGTTGTTACTAGATGTTTTTTTATAAAATCAATCGTTTCATAAAAAAAAAGAAGCACAAATGTATAAAAATAATGCAATCAATCAACATTCAATCTCCAAAACCTAAAAGACTGCAAAATTTCATCGCCTATTAATATAATAATAAGAATGATAATGAGATGTGACAATCAAAAATGTGAATTTTGAATCAACTCAAAGGAAAATAGATGACAATTAAAACTCACTTCAATTTTGTACTCCATGATATTCTTGAAAGTAACTGTAAGGTGTGCAAATTCAATCTCACATCGAAAAATTAAAGGTTGCAAGTTCAATATATAAGTTTGGTAGGCTACTCCTTCTATTGCCAATTGGTTTTAGAATGGAACCCCATTTGGGCTTGTATGTTGAGCTTGATGGAGAACTGGATTTTGAGTTGTTGGTCCTAACAATTGGTATCAGAGCCACGGTTGGTAGCCCATTTGCGATGTGGATGACGTGGCATGGTCCCCGAGAAGTCGGTGAACGGTTGGTGGATCTGTGTGTCTTGTGTCGAAAGTCTTCTTGACAAAAGAGTGGTCAGGAGGCGGGTTCCGTGGATGATAACGGCGGTACAAGATGGTCGGATCGTATGAATTTTGTTCAAGAGGAGACCCGATGTGGTCTTATGTTTGAGGGGAGGTTTGTAGGGTGTGCAAACTCAATCTCAAATCGAAAAATTAAAGGTTGCAAGTCCAATATATAAGTTTGGTGATTTACTCCTTTTATTGTCAATTGGTTTTAAAATGGACCCTCATTTGGGCTTGTATGTTGAGCTTGATGAAGAACTGAGTTTTGAGTTGTTGGTCCTAACAGTAACTAGAAATGTTGTTGGTAATTTAAGCTATGAAATAATTGAAATTATATATATGGAATAAACGAGAATGACCAAAGAACTTGGGCCGAGATGAGCAAAATAATATTTTATAATCAATAACTACTAATTATTATTATTATTTTTATCTTAGAACTAAACATTGAATGAAAAAGAGAATAAACGAAGAGTCCTTGTGTGTCAAAGCAAGAATGAGCGGAAAGAATACATTTTTTTCTTAAGTGGGGCCCACTGGGGTGTTGAATCTTTAGACAGGTTTTTACTTTTTAGAGGTTTATAAAAGTAAACCTCACATGTTTACTAAAGTTTGAGGTTTGGAATTATAATGCCACTTTACAATCTCAAGCCTTATCTAAAGCTGAAAAATAAAATAAAATAAGTAATAAAAGAAAAATAGAAACAAAAATGTGGTGTGAATGAAACAAGCTGCAAAATAAAATAACTAATAAAAGAAAAATAGAAACAAAAATGGTGGTGTGAATGAAACACAACTCATTTCAAGTGAGATTTGTCATATGCGCGTGTGGCATGCGACACGGAAGTGTGAGAAAGATGATTAACACTTATCAGTCATGTGTCCCTCAATTTCCATTTAAGTCCCCCTTTTTCTTTTTGCAAATATAATTTACATCCGGGTTCTTTTTTTCTTGAAATTAAACTAGGGAAAAAATTTAATTGGTGACAATCCATCTACATATTATAATTTAGATGACAAAAAAATTGTATCCTTATAGTAATTGGCCCATACTTTATTATTTCATTTACTTCTTCCAATTTTTATATCGTCTCAAAATGTATTCAAATTAAATATATAATAGTATTTAAAAATAATAATATATAATTTATTGACATTTAATAAATTTTTCTATTAAATAAAATTATGATAAATGTAATAATATTTTGATTTTAAAAAATAAAGAATAGAATTTTATATTGAATAACATACTTTCGTAATTTTAAATAAAATAACATATCGGGCGGTACATTAAAGTTCTATGTTTCGTAATTTATTTAACGCTTTTGTATCGGTATGCAATTAATACTCTATAATTATAAATAATCAAATATAATTATATGTAATTAAATTATTTTTTTTATATGTATGTATGATAAATATATGAAATGTTTAGATTGAATTAAAATAAAAAGTGGAGTTGTATTTTTTAAATATTATTAAAAATATAAGAATATAATATAAATTAAAAATAAGTGAAAAATATGTGGAACCCATTAAAAAGTAGGTTTATGAAATTTATTGTTATTGCAGGTTTATAAGTGTAGGAATAAGATGAGTCTACTTGCAATTTCATTAGAGAATAAATTTTTTTACACTATGTCTATTTCATAGGTGATATATATATTTTTTTTAATAAAGTCAAAAGCATAGATGCTGTTATAGCACCCACAATGCTTTGGTCTCTTAACAAAAAATTACATGCCACATGGGAAATAGACTTAGTCTATAAAAAAAATACTTCCCAATGCAATTAAAAGTGGACATGGTCTAGCTTATGTGGCAATGAAAAAAAGAGACTAAGTCCACACTTGGGTCTATTTTGGACCCAAGTACAAACTCAAACACTCATCATTTGTTCTTAATTTAATTTTTTTTTAATGAATAAAACATATTAGAACATTTCTATTGGTTGACATGCATGCTAGACCGAGTCTCTTTATTTTTGCATTGCAAAGTTTTTGAGTTTTTTTACTTAAGTTTGTCCATGTCATTTAAAACTCAAGTCCAATTATATGCCACATATACAAAAAGAGACTCAAAGCATTTTAGATGCTCTTAGGACTCGTTTCTAGCAGACTGCTAGGACATGTTTCTAGAAGCTTACAAAAACGAAAGAAAATAAAGGAAAAGAACAAAATAAAGCGAAGAGGCCAAGTGGGATATATATTTGTTCCTTTAATTTGTTTGTTTCCTCACAATATATGCAATTCCACGTGTAGTGGGACTGTAGTGCCAACATCTCATTGATTGATTGTCTTTTCAAGTGGCCAAATTCAGTGCGCTGTATATGATGTTGTCTTGACTTT